CTGTGTCCTTCAAATTAATGAGTTACAAAACAACAAAAACAAAGACCCTTCTCCTTATGTTTTGGACTCTTCCTATATCACTTAATGGAAAAGGCTTTAGTCCATTTCCATGGTGGTCACCTGCTCTGCTCTTCCAGATGAGAGATTGTACTCTAGCCTGTGCCAACGGCCCAACCCATGGCATCTCTCTGATCCTATGTGTGAAATGTATATAACTATATTAATCTCTGAGCCTGTCCTGCATGGAGGGTGTTGAACACCCCCAATAGGATGGACAAAGTCAACAAAATAGACTTTTCAAGATCAACCGTGAAAGTCCGCAAACTAAGGGGGGTGTTTATTTAGTAATAAAATAATTATTAATATATAGTAATAATTTATTTTTCGCATGGTGCTTTTTACCTAAAAGAATACAAAAATGTTTCATATATAGGAGGGGACTGATTTTTTTTTTTAATGAGCTGCAGCTTCCACCTTGGTAACCTGTGGGAGTCATGAGGTGCCAGCAGTCCCATTACATAGCAGCTGAGGTGGAGAAGTGAGAACTTATTACATTAAGGAAAAATATAGTACAGCAAAATAGCAACTCTACTCTTATAAGCAGTGCCCTGGAATCTTTAATGGCTTACAAGTCTGGACCTCAGTTTAACTCAACCAAAGGTGGCGGTTTTCCTGGTCAGAATCCTGCTCACTTGATTTCCTCTACAGAACAGCAAGAAAATCAAATTTCAGATCAAGTGGCAACTTGCTACCAAATGTGCTAACTGTTCTGAATGACCTCCTCCATACAGAATATACTGCATATACACAAGTTCTGATTGCACAGACAGCCAATTAAACTTTTTAAAGAAATTATCAATAGCATTAATTATCAAAGTTCTTTTTTTGACATTTGGATTATCAGGAGAAACAACATTGAAGTGAAAAACACACACAAATGAAAACAAAAATAATTGTGTTTTTCTTAAGAGGAATTTCAGACGGTTTGGCTTCACTGTTTTTCAAAATAAATATAAACTTAGGAAGGCATATAATTAAAGCCAAAGATTTGCAATTAAACGGTATCAACAACCTGCAATTAAAAACAGTTACGTTTGCAGAGAGGTAAATTACAGATGTTCAAGAATGATCCCATTTCTACCGAAAAATGTGTTGGTTTGTTTCTAAACCCTGTCAACCATCCAAACGGGCCTGAGGATTGAAAATCTGGATTCTCCTCCTACGCTGCCATAGAAACAAGCAAAGTGACAGAGAAATGAACTGACAGGTCAGTCAGGAATCCTTCAACAAAAAATCATGACTTCTCACATCTCAAATATTCGAAAGAGAAGTCTGATTAATGTCTAATGAGAGGATCAGACAAAATCCACCCATCCATTTTGTTACCCTCTTCACAGAGAACAGGGCCATGGGGCGGGCAGTGGGCTCAAGGCAGGAAACATCAGACAAAACAAGACCAGATCTGGCGAACGGTCAGGTAGAAAAAGGGGGAACGGGACCAGTCCCGGACTCGGCTGGTTGAGGACATCTGGGAGGCGAATGCCCCCCGAGCCGCGAACGTGGGGCAACTTGGTGGTAGGCGGGCCTCCGGGCGCCCAATGCAGAGCCCGGTTAAAGCCAGAGTGAGCGTCTGGCTTTTGTAGGGAAGGGCAGGAACAGGGTGAAGGTGTACAAAATCAACTAAAATGTGAACAAGCCGGAGCGCCCTTAAGGGGGAGGGATTACAATCGTGACATGACCTCTGGGGCTCTTCTTTAGGACACGTGTGGCTGCGACAGGAAAGTGCAAAGTCCAAACTGAGACAAGCTGACTCTCACACCAGCGATTGACTGAATGTGTGCTCAGAAAAGCTGCACAGTGAGTGGAAATCAAGCACATGTTGAGGTCTTGAAAACAGAAGAATGCTTCTTAATTTATTATGGAAAAATCTCTCATCATCCCTCTTACTTCTGGTATGTGATGCATGAGATCATCTTAACCTATGTGGTTTTCAAGGCCAATGAACTCAAACCATGGAGGAGACATGACTTTACTGTTGTACAGACAAACAGTCAGCAGTATCTATATTGGGGTGTCCCTTTTGTACACCTACATCATGATCTGATTAAAAGCAACGAGACATTTCTTGCTTTTTGTTTATATTGCTCATCTGCAATCACTTTTTGCAGATGCTAGAATTTAAAAGTGAAAATATGAGAATAAAAACCTCTGTTGTAACAAAAGAAAGACATACAAAAATATGCAAAGAGAAAGAAAAACTTTTAAATCGAGAGATCCTAAACTGACATACTTACTACTAGCTTATCATCAATAACACAAATGAAGGCAAAATCTTTTAATTCATTGTAAATTGTGATTCACCTTCACAAAAAAGGTTATGCTCAACTATAAATATTTATCTACTTTTTTTTCTTACAGGTATGTTCTAATACAAAGTATTTCTTATATGCATTGCAATACATCTCTAATGACTTCAGTCAGTTTGGGCAAAACTGGAGTTTGTTTTTGAAACTTTGTTGAAAGTACTTTCAACACTTATTTTTTTCCATGTTAAATGATCTCAGACTAAGATGTCTTTGAGTCGGACACATTAATGGATTATCTGATGACTTAAGAATGACTTCTTCTGAGGGTATTTATAGTGTTAGTCATTTGGTTTAAGATGTTGAGAACCAACAGCTTAAAGTAATTCTAAAGATATGCAGAAATCTATACACATGTTCAGTAAATACTTGTACAGTTTTTTCTCTTTCCATTTTATAGGTCTGCATGTATATGTATGGTATATACACACAACTAGGATTATGAATACATATTAACAGAATATAAAAATTGAATCATATTGTTCTATCAACAAGGATGACTTTTTTCATTAAATGAAACAATTCAGACCTAATTTGTGTACATTCAATATTTAGGTTAGGGGAAAAAAATAAATAATAGCATCTTCTAAAGTCATATTCTTGCATTATTTGTAAATCTGGTATGATTTTTTCAAGACGTTTATGAATGGCAAATTCTTAACTTAATATCAGACCAACCATTTTAAATACAAAAAAGTAATGGCACATGATTTTACTGTGATTTATTTTTGGCTATTTTGGGTTTATTTTATTTATTTTGACTTTTAGCCGGGAAACAAGTGAACAAAAATTTACACCTCTGATTGTGATTAGAACTTAAAAAACACAAATAACATAAATAGACACAATGATTACATTTACTATCAGATGTCCTCCATGGAGCTTGGAATGTTTAACCAAGCTACACCAGTCTCACAACAACTCTGAGTTTTCTCTAATAAAGGGCTGCAGAAAATGACTTATCAGATGAACCCAGCTGAGAAACCTTGAAATATTCAAGGAATGTTAATCTCTCAAACTGAGTAAGAATGATCACCACTTGGACTTGGTAACATCTGAGGACTTCAGCTTGGATGTGAGCCATTCTACCTGTTTATGTAAAAGGATCCAGTCCCAACCGAAGACACCAGCTCACCCCAGGCAGCTATCTGACTGAGAATGGTCTCAGGTCAACTTCAGCTCATTTCACTACAAAAAGGGCCTGCTCTGTTCCTGTAAATGAGATCTTTTACTGCTGAGACTTGATTTGTGGATACAGCACGGATGCAGGCAGAGGGGATTCTTAATTTAGAATCTCAAATTGTTTTGTTTTTTTGTTGTTTTTTTTTCAGTATATACCCAGACAGGCCCAGTTATGCTTTTCCACACAGAGAGTCCCTGTCACGTCTTGTTAATGACACAGTCCAGTACTGGCAAAACAGTAACTCCAGAACTAAAGGGGCTGGCCAGCCCTTCTGCGTATCTGCCTTTACTGGCTGAACCTCCCAGGAGTCCCCAGATTATATTTTGTTTCTCAATATTCAGCAATAACATGGTAGCAATTATTTTATTTCCATTTGCATTACAGCCAATTCTGAACACATTCTGCACGAGCTTCAGCAAACTAATCTGAACGATGGCTACAGAAAGAACACTGTGACAAATGTCTCAACACTTTTGTTGAAAAAGATGGTGTCACCTTTCGTGAGGGCCTAAGAATTTGCTGATCTTCTTGTTGTGAATTTGTAGAATATCAGGATTAATGCCAGTGTAGATGTCTCTGTGTCTGAAAACAAATCATGAATCAAGCTCTGTTTCAAACACGTTACTGTGACAGTGGTCATCTATAGGTGTGCATCCCCTACACATTTGGTGTCTTGACAGAACACTAGGGAACGACAATCACGTTGGCCGCTTCGCTTGACAGTAAGAGATGGAGGAAGAAGAAAAAAGAACAAAGAGTGTGTTCTTTGAAGAGCAATAAGTTTAACTAACCAATTCATGACCAATTCTGGTAAGAACAATCTCAATCTGTTTACATAGGTAGTTTATGTTTTACCCTTGCTGGTTTATATTACCGAAAACTATTTTGTTTTGGAAACAGAGTCCAATCTGAGGAAAATTACAGGGCTTGGAGAAAGGTTGAAGAATCCTTTCATTATGATTTACTGAGGACTCGAGTTGGAACATCTTTTTGAAACTATGCCATATAACATCTTATTTAGCTATACTAGTCTGTGCTATAAAATTATTATTATTATTATTATTATTATTATTATTATTATTATTATTATTATTATTATTATTATTATTATTATTAGGCTATTTTTACAGCAACACCAAGCAAGATGAAGAATTCTATCATTCTCTAAGGGCAAAAAGACTGTCTGTGACAGTATCCCACGTTACTGTAATCCACATTAAGCAAGCTTGATGGACTCTAAAGGATGTCTGAAATGTGTGTAATGTTAGTACCCTGTAGAGAATTTAAAACATGATGCTTTTTGCCTGTTATTTAAACTCTCCTTTTTCTGGTGCACATTATATGTCACTTGAAGAATCCCGTCAAAACCCAGTGTAGAGTTCACAAGCACGTTTTACCTTTTAAGCAAGGAGACATTTGAATCAGACACTCCCACAAGGAATGCTCTTTTTATTTCCTTCTGCGAAAGGTCACTTGCTTGTATTTCAGCTAAGACCTCTTTCAATGTCTTAAAAGTTGAAAGGACATTTAAGAAAAACAACTAAAATAGAAGGTTGAAATCAACTGTCCTGTGATTAAGAACTTTGCCTGCTGCAAGAGCTGGAAGTCACAGCTGTCTTCAACGGCCAGGGTTAAGAGCCACTGTCCAAGTCACTCCTGGTCTCGCTTCGTCTCATCCTCTGGCATTTGTGTTCTGATCCATTTCTTGAATGGTTGGACAGGATTCCACATCTAAGGTCACCGTGCAAGGTCACCGCGAAAGGCAAGCAAACAAAAACAAGCATCACTCCAGGTGGACAAGAGATGTTTTTGTGGAAAATATTCAAAAACATACTTTTTGCAGGGTGACGCAAATGCGTGCAAAGCATCAGTGAGTGCTGTGTTACTATCTGCTCTCTACACAGATCACCACAATAGACATCATTGTATCGCTGTGATTGGAGCAATTACAAGGCCAGACACTGTTGTGTGTGCACAGGAGCGCACTCTGCAGACCTGCTCCAAGACATTACCACAAATCAAAGACTGCTGTGTCAGCTAGCAAAGCAGATAGCACGAACACAATGAAGGGAGAAAAACCTGGCTCTGGCCAGACAGAGAAAAAAAACGCAGAGCACCCCTGTGTCTGGGGTTAAAACCATAGAGCCAGAATCAGCAGGAAAGATCATTTTCTCAGCAGCTGTCGGAAACCACTAAAATAAGGCCATTTTCGTACAGTGGCTCCAGTTAGTATCAGTACTTCAGAAGAGAGGATACTTCACAAAGGGCATATAACATGGAAACTGGATAGAAAAGAGGCCCCATGGTGTCTCTCTTCAAGGAGTCCCCAGAAACAGACCGCCCCTGGTCTAATGGTTTGATCATTTGAGGGTCCTCGCTGAGGGACCATTTTTAGGAAACAGTCCTCTCTGGACATTAAATATGCAGTACCCATAGAATGGTGTACACATTGTTACAGTTAGTAATACTTTAACCATTTTTATTCAAACAAAAGGAAATTTATTCTTTTAACAGGCTTTTTCAGCTCTATTTCTAGTATGTTGCCTAGGAGGATTCCTATTTCTTGATGAGGGAATGAAGTACAGATGGCATATTTTCTTTACCAATGTATGCCAAACTCTTAATAGCAATACCAAAATGTCAAATCTCTAATTAATAATAACACTCATAACCCTACACAGGTATGCATAAAAACTCCAGCACCCTTTCTCCTCTAGTTTGAAAACATTCTACACAGGCAGCTGATTGTACTGTGTTTTATGGACGTGGTGTGTCTGCGTGTTTGTGTGTGTATGTTTCACATGTGAAGGAATGAGACCTCAAATTTTACTGATAACCTCAGCAATAGAAAAAGTACCAGGCCAAAGTTTACCAAAAAAGTGATTTGCCTTCTGTCTTGGGAAGCCCATTAATTTATAAAATGTGAAGATGGAAGTCCAAAAGCTAAATCTAAAAGTTTAATGCACAACAAACTTGCTTGGATGACCCAAACCTTGATAAAAATTCACAGAAAGAAAACTTTGCCTACATTTCAAAACAAATGATTAGTTCTCAATCTGATCACCAAATGCAAAGTCAAACGAAATGTCAAAGGTAAAAACATTCATATTACCTGATAAAACAGATCCTGAGGTGGATCACTTATAAAAAAATAAACAGTGTTTCATTTAAACAAATACACAGTAGGTATTAACCACTGACCACAAATTCTGACATCAAGTCTTAACAGAATCCCACTATGACTGTGCACTTCTTTTGCAATGCTATAGACTACACAGGGATACACTTTGCTACCACCGGACAAAAACAAACATAGCACATGATGAATCAGGAAAATTAGGCACACAAGCCTCTGCATGTGAACTAAGGCAACACATGTAATTAAGGCCTTAGTCATTGTCTCTTGGGATTATGTAAATCTGTAGTTAACACAGCACCCTTCCAAACAGAAAGTCCACCTTTGATCGGTTGTCATAAACAATATCTACAGCTTGAGAAAGAGAAACTGAATTCTCTTCTTTCAGGAATAAAATTAAATAAACAGTATCAGAGATATCAGACATCTCACAAACAGGGAATTTGCCAGTTTCAAGAGGGAATTCCAGATGTACATATCTGTGAGAAATTAACCAAAAAAATCTCAGACCATAATTACTAAAAGAACTGGTGTACATTTGCAAAACTATTCATATACTGTAGGTTACTACACAGTATTCCCCATTATGGATACTGAGCATTAACAGAAACTTATAACTCTAAACTGTAACAGATTCACTGAGTTATTATCACGAAAACAACCACAGAAATTCTGGAATTATGTGTGCTGGGGTTTTATTGAACAGAGATAACATGAGTAAATTCGTTGTGTTAAAATGTGTCATCAACAGCGCAGCGGGTCTACTCTGAAAGTCATAGGCAAATAGCATGTGTGACCACCTTTGGAAGCAACCGAAGGTGCACGTTGGTGACACATGCTTTGCACCAGGTTATAGAGCCTGTCTAGTGGGGATCAGTATTAATTCTTCCTGTAGAACCTGGACAAGCGTGCACCTGTTCACTGGCCTCTGAACCTTAGATCATATTCATCGTCCCACCTCATCCCTTACATGTTCATTGGGGTGCAAGTCTGGCAACTGGGGCATCCATAACATGTAACATGTAACATCTAACATCACTTTATTAGCCCTATACAATTTCTTGCATTAGGAATTCGTCTTTTCGCATACCCCAGCTTGCTCTCCATGAGACACACAGACACACAGACAGGAAGAGAACCCTGGGGTCTTATGTTATATGTGTAGCATGAGGAGTGTGTTGTCCTGCTGGAATCATGTCAAGTAATCAAAGAATCTCCACACGTACAGCCATCCAGTCAGACTGCCATCAATTACTACTAATGGAGTTCTATACTGCAGAGCTATCACACCTTATCTGACCACCTACTAATTAGTCTGATATACACAACAATTAGAGCATCATCTTGCATAACTCTATTACACTTGCTGATGTCCATCAGGGTGGTGGACACAAAACTCTGCACTAAAGAGGTCTAATCTCCACTGCTGGCATGTTAGCCTCGGTGTCTTAACTCAGCCCCAACGATGAGTTGGAGTTGACTTTTCCTTTCTTGATTTTCAGATCAGCACCTGTGCCCCATCGTCTCTCTCACTAAGGAGGTGATTTAGTGGTTATGCAGCAGTCAAAGTCCCTCAAGAGCATCACTGTCAGCCATGAATGGTCAACTGACCAATGGGCACCAAGAATATTTAATCAATATCTGAAGACCATATGATTTATTGTTCTACACACATTGCATCTATTGGCTAAACTTTTTTTTGATGACATGTTATGATGATCTGATGCTGGATAACTTTGTTGTCTGTTTCTTACTCTCTGAAAGAGTCTAGTAGATACTCTTTCTTTCAAAGTCAAAAGGCTAAAAAATGATTTCTCTTTGTCGGCATATGAACTCTGCTTTTCAAACAGTTCAATTATGACTCAAGGCTTTCTAGGCTCTCTGGGTACATATGCTTTGAAGAAGGCTTTCTATGTACATTTTAGCAACTTGTTTTTGCTTAGTTTGTATATATTTCCTTTGGAGGAAAATACACACAAACAGAAAGAAAGGACCTTCATTTCCACACTCATTCACTGTTTATGGTGAAAATTCTTTCATATTCTGACAGACTATTTTGTAGTTTATAGCTTTACAGTATTTTTGTATAACTAATCATCCTGATTTTAAAGATATGTTTGTGCTTGCAGACATAGACCTTTGGGTTAGATCTCTTGTGGTACCTCCGCTTTTGTTTTGCTTCTAGGATTACATGTTATTTCAACTGTCTTTATAACACTTGTTTGGCCATCATTGTAATTCTGTAACTTTATCATTCTTATACTTTAAGCATCTTGCATGTTGTGAAGGTAATTAACTTGCTATTCAAAGACTCTTCTCAGCCGTGAATCAAACTCCATTATAGTTTGTTTCTATTTATACCACAACTACCTGGATAATAAGTGGTTTGTTTCAATCACTACTTAACTATTTTATCATTTTTGTTCGAGGAGGCAAACCAGGAATTTGGAAGAACACTTCAGTCTGTGTAATATGTCATTTTTTGTAAAGTAATTTTGTTCAAAGAAGTATAATATGTGATGTGTGTTTACTGTTCTATAATCAAATCACATACATTAATGCGTATACTGTGCACAGGAGACAAAGAGCTTGAATTATGTAATATGTATGGCTTTTCTCAGATACTGTATGTTTACTTTCACCATTATTTCAATATTTGATATAAATGATGTTGTGACTCATTATTTATAAAACAACAAAAAGTATTCATTATCATGGTTACACACTTATTTTTATGGACTTACAGTGTTTTAAATAAGGACCAACAGATCATTAGATGAGCCGTGTCAACACGTTTTCCATTGTTTTTGATCACTGATCACTGCGTCCTCAAAGTAAGAATGATGTTTAAAATCGTGTTGTCTGACAATGTGAAAGACATTTACAGCATGTTGAGTCAAAAAGGAATCAAAGCAGGTCATGGAATTTCTGATTTTTTTCCTATCAAGTTTGACTTGAGCCAAATACCCCCCAAAACAAAGTGTGCATTGTTTGGTGTTGTCTAGATCCTACGTCTAGTGGACACCCCCTCATGTCTTTGCAGAACTATTAAAGAACAGGCTGAGTTCATATGACTGCTTTTGCTCTCTTTTCTGTCATAATATGATGTATTTTAGGGTATGCATTTGAGCTGGTTCATGGATACGATTTACTGGAGCCTATATTTACATTTAAGCTGCACTAAAGTTAAATAAAGCTTCTTATGACCTGACAGCTAAGATAAGTACCCATTTAAACCTATATCTCTTAGTGAAAAAAGAGCACATTCTGTCGAGCTGTAATAATGGTGAATGTCCTCTCATGATTTTGGCTTTATTATAACGCTCATTTCAAGGCATATCATTGTGCTAAACAGCTATTATATGGGCATTAAAAGATCTGACCCTGTCTGTCTGTTTCTTAAAAAAGAGAATGCTGAAGTCAGCACTGTGATTTAAACCCATGAAGTCAGGCTTTTTTTCAGTCAGCTGAACTGTTTTACCTTTAATTACATCAAAATCTTTGAATAACTAAAGATGGATGCTGCAAAAATAGAACACAAAATTAAATATAAATTCAAGATAATTCTTTTAAAGCCTCCTGATACCGATGGGTT